TTTTTTAATACAATATAAAAGAAAGTGAAATATTTTGTACACTTGTAACTACCATACAAAATTTATCCATTCTTCCCTTTCACTCCTCTTTCCAAACAAAATATTTCAACCTGTTAATATGTTTCATAAAAAATAATTAATAAAAGCAAATATTTTTTTTACTTTATTTAAATATAAACATTTGTAGTTCACAATATAAGATACAAAATTTGCTCTAATTCAAAAATCTTATAATTTTTTATTTTAAGGATAGAAAAGATTGTGTATTGAGAAATTGAACACGAGTGATATTAAAATGTATTCGAAACCTAACAATTCCAAAATCCTCATAATTTACTTTGCTTTAGGCTCCATTTTGCCAATTAGCAAATGAGGATGGAACAAAGGCAAAGGGAAAGGAAAATCTGCAATATGCAGCCAAAAGCAGGGTCATTACATAGGGTAACTGTTTTGCCTAAAGTTAACCAAAAGGGTGGTGGATTCTGATAATGGCATCCAGGAGAATTGAGATCAGTAGAAAGATCATGAGCAATCTTTAGCATTGAACATTTTGCAATTCCATTGCTTACATGCCTTAGAGAAGGCATTCTTATACTATTTTGTTTTGGACAAAGCATGCTATGAGAACTTGATTGATAAGTTATTGGACTTCAGTATACATGTAAATTATATTTGAGTGTTATTTTATTAAGAGTGTATTTATTATACATTTTTATTATTAATACACATATAATAATAAAAATAAAATCTTATATTAATTTTATCAATTAACTAATAAAAAATATCTGTGGCACAAATGTTAAAATTAATATCAACTTTTTTATTTTTCATATAAATTAATGTATAAAAAAATGTATTTAAAATCCTCTTAAAGGTATAAGTTAGATACACCTATTATTTTTAGGAATTCAAAGAAAAGAAAGTAAAACAAGACATCCCATGAGAAGTAGAAAGATTGCAACTATGTTTCTTCTTTCTTTTGGACAAGTGTATGCCCAATCGATAAAGTCATATTTTTCGTTCAACTAGTGGCAACGGCAATTTTGATCTAGAGGTTAGTTGGAGAAAATCTGATTTCCCTTAGACTTACGAGAATTGCTGGCTAGCTGGTATTCTATACCTAATCCTTAAAAGCAAAACTCTTTCTGCCACCTCTGATCTATTCCCCTTGGAAGTAAATATGATATTTGGAAAGCAAATATAGTTAGCTGAGAAGTTGAACTAACTAGGTACGGGAAGTTCAGAGAACGTGTCCTTTTGAGCTTCCTATTCTCCACATCCAACATCTATATAACGCTTACGAGAATGAAACATCACTGCATAAGCAAACCACAAACTGATCCTTGCATTTGGCGCAGACTTGTGTTTTAGCCATGGCATGTCATCATCGCCTTCAATTCTTTGTTTTACCACTTCTGCTGGTCACTTTGTTTACAATGAACAGCAGCAGCTTCTTAGTTGCGGCTCGTCATCTTCTAGAGACAACTGTGCCAGGGATTCCTACATTGCCTAAGGTTGAGCTGCCACCATTGCCTGAAATTCCAACTTTGCCAAAGCCTGAAGTGCCAGAGATACCTAAGCCTCAAGTCCCTAAGTTGCCAGAGATACCTAAACCTCAAGTCCCTAAGTTGCCAGAGATCCCAAAACCTCAAGTTCCTGAGTTGCCAAAGCCTGAACTACCCAAGTTGCCTGAGCTGCCAAAGCCTGAATTGCCTACGTTTCCTGAGCTTCCAAAGCTTGAAGTTGCAAAGACTGAAGTGCCTAAATTGCCAGAGATACCAAAACCTCAAGTTCCCGAATTGCCAAGGCCCAAACTACCTAAGTTGCCTGAGCTACCAAAACCTGAATTACCTAAGCTGCCTGAGTTGCCAAAACCTGAAATACCACAAGTGCCAGAGTTGCCAAAGCCTGAAGTGCCCAAATTGCCTGAGTTGCCAAAACCTGAAGTTCCCAAATTGCCTGAGCTGCCTAAACCTACTACTCCTTGAACCTTGAAAACCGCCTTCTGTTAGTTGTTGTTCAATTTCCATATGGTGCTGTTACCACTTACAACTCATTTTGTACTCTTATCTGGAGTGTGTTTCATACTTTCGTTATTGTATGTTTGCATTAATTTAATGAACCTCCATGCCGAGAGGTAGATTTATTTTATTTGTATTATTTGAGTGGATCCATTTATCAGGAAATTTGTTTTAATATCCATAGATATATTATTTAGAGACTTCACTTCCCTCTGTTCTCTGAGGTTTGAGTCCCCCAAATATCAAAGAATAAAGAGCGCAATTCTGTTTTTCTTTGGTACTTTGCAGCTCTCACATGTCATTGGACCAAGCAATTCCCATAGAAGATGGGGAAATACTATAGTTAATAACCAAAGAAGCATCTGAACCATCATTATAATGCTAAAACTTTCAGAAACTTAAAAACATTTTTCAATCAGTGGCCTGAAATCTAATTTCCCTGCATTATTTGCATTAGTAATACCAAGATCAAAATGACATGTACTCAGTCACGCATACATCTATTAGTTGTCAATCATTTTTGCTGCAACAATAATTAATAACCATCGCCTGCTCAAGTACTCAGGAAGATGAAAACAGAATGCGTGTTTTTAGAATTAAGATCATGATTAGTAATACAAAGTTTTGCACTGTTTGTATTAGTAATACCAAAATCTATTATTACAGAAGCTTTTGATTCAGCATTTGTGATTCCTAGGAAGTAGATGGAGGCATTCAGCCTAATAATGCTCTGTCATTGTTACCATATCAGCTGATGGGAACATCCATTGTTAGAAGTTGCCAATTTCTTGTCTTTGCCACTATTAGATTTAGTTGTTATGTCATATGATTTAATTACAATTGATAATGCACTTCTATTGAAATGTATCATGATCTATATATGCATTCCCCTTCGCTTTAGTCATGGTTTATACCAAGATAAAAAGAAGTTATGGTTTATCATTTACGGTTTACATGATAAAAGGTCTTAAGAATGATACATCAAGGGCGGAGAGGGATTTTTCTAAAACATGACATAAGATGTATAATTAGCCTAATCCGGAAATCCCTATATATTAGTAGTTGTTAATCATTTTTTCGGCAACCACAATTAACAATCCCTTCCTGCTCAAATTATTGGGAAGACATAATGCATGTTTTTTAAGATTCGTAGAGTTCTGTAATGAAGCAGAAAATAGAGAATTAAAGTATTAAACTCGAATAACCATGCTAATTCTGATTTTGTCGCGGAGAAAGTGCTGCGGTATATGACAAAAGGCAACATCTGTTTTATCATGATGATATTAAAGAAAGGACAACACTA